ATTTGATCAAACGCTAAGTGATCTCTTAGAGCTCAAATTCATCTTTTTACGTTTTGTTTTATTTCAAATTGAACAAACAAAAATCCCCCTCTTTATTTTCTATATTTTACAGAGCGTTTCTGATTTTTAGCAAGTTCTTTGGGAGACGATCCGAGTTTCCCTATCACTACAAACTTAAAGCTCGATAATTTGTGTGGGTTCGACAGCCAATGTCACAAGGCAGTCTCGTGTTATTTCCAGAATCTGAGATTGGCTCAAAGAGTCCTGGATCATTCACATGAGTCATACACCTAGAAATGGAAATTGTGCTCATTGGTTAGTAAAGCATGTTTCTCCCACAAAATATAACATCACGATTTTTATTGAATCTCCACCAGAACTCCAGCATCTTTTGGGAAAGGATCTCAAAATTGCCCTCTTTCAGTTTGCTCCTTCTTTAGTTCTTCTCTTGGGCCTTAGGTCCCTTTCATGTACTAAAAAAATAAAAATAAAATATTTATGAAATGTCCAACCTGAATCTAATAAGAATCTAATGGCCGTTAGGCACTCTTATCGGGCAGTGAAAGCAAAAAAAAAAAATTTGTAAAAGCAAATCTTATATCTAACGTTAAGAATCAAAAAACTTTATTGTTTGCTTTTTCCTTTTCTACCAATCAGGAAACGCCATGAAGAATAACTTCATTTTTTTATTTTTGTTTAAATTACTAAAGAATAAAAACTTTTAAACTTATTTCAACAAATTAAGAAGAGAATAAAAATAATATTAAAACCTAAGGTTATTGTTAAGAATATAAACGTGGAAATGAAGTATTCTTATGTTTGTTTGAAGTTTTAAAATTCTATTCCAGAGAAAATAATATGTTGATGTTTTAATCTAGGTATTGATTTACAACATAAGCATTAATTGTATAGAAGTAAAAAATATTCAATTAAAGTAATTGAATTGTATATGCTATTATCACATCATTCAACTCGGGATTAGTATCATATATGTGCAGTCTTTTTTTTTCGGTCATGAGAGTACTTAAGGGACATGATTCGTCCAAAAGAATAATTAGAATCGTAAAATAAAAAAATTATAACACATAGTTAAATATTTGTGACAAATGGATCAAAATCAAACCTTTTCTTTTCGAGAATTGTTAGTAACAAGTCATAATAAAAAAATTAAGAAATTATATTTAGGAAAGATGAATGATTTCATTGACGAGGCTGGCTGCTTCTTTTTCCGCGATATATCCAACCCGTACTGCTATAAGGAAGCTTCTAATTGTGCATGAGTTTCAACCTCTAAGTGGGCTTAGAAAGAGCGTGATAGGCCCACTAGAATTGTGAAACTGTCCAAACTAAATCTCATTATTTTCTCTGCAGGTTCATATGTGACACATTTATTAGTCTACTTTTCCTCCTACTATTTGTTACAAATTCCAATTAAGAAACACGACTAAAAGAGACCTCTTTTGAACATTGAAGCCTGTTTGAACAAATTAAAAAAGAAAGTATTTTTTTTAGGGAAAAACAAGTCTCCTATATTGGGATACTCCTTCTGTCATGCGGTGGACCCATAAACATGTGGGGTCTATCTTTAATGTATGGACAACAGGAGATTACTTTCTCCAATAACAAAAGAAAGTATTTTCCTGTTTTTTAATATCCTAATGAAAGAAAATTGAATCTTGAAAGTGCACTACTCCACTTGCTTTCGATGTGTAATGATTCATTAAGCTGTAAAGTGAAGGGTATTTGTAAATGGTAAAAAATATCAAAGAAATGATATCTTAAAATTTTAATTTGATTTACTACTTGTGAATTATTTTTTATATTATTATTAAATTAGGTATTAATACATGGCTTTTTCACCCTTTTGCCCCTTATTAATTAATTAATAATCATTTTGCCCCTGATTCGAAACTATCTACTAATCTGCCCCTCTTTAATCGACTACCTTGCATTTTTAATCGACTAAACGGTTGTTGGAAAATTTAATCGACTAAATCTCCCTACTTAATAGATTAAAATCATACTGACTTAATTTTTTTTGTCAAATATGAAGATTTAGTCGACTAAATAGGGAGCTTTAGTCGACTAAATCTCCCAGCAGCCATTTTTTGTCTGTTTTGGCCATTTAGTCGATTAAAAATGCAAGGTAGTCGACTAAAGAGGGGCAGATTGATAAATAGTTTCGAATCAGGGGCAAAATGGTTATTAATTAATTAATAAGGGGCAAAAGAATGAAAAAGCCATTAATACATCATTAAAATAAATTTATTCTTTCATTAGTTGTTATCTCAATGAAACTCATTTATTCATGTTGTAATAAATTATTGAATTCCTTCCAAGAAATGGGTCATGATCATTTTACACCAGTGTAAGTTACACTCTCAATATAGTTCGTTGATCTCACTTATATCTAAGGGCTCAATTTTTTTAATAATATGAGCCATTAGATACAAGTGGATCAATGGTCAAGATTGAGTGTAAGACTTCTAACTCTTACACCAGTGTAAGAATATCCTACCCCCAAGAAATTATTAAATGATAATTAAAAAATATTTACACACGTAATAAATTAAAAAGTAATGTTGTTATTTTAAATCCAAATCTCTATACCCACATCTTATTCCTATTTCTTTCTTTAAAAACAATTCAAACTTTTTTCACCCCTCTCTCTCTCTTCAAATTCAATTAAGAGTAAGGAAAGTGTATGAGTTTAGGTGTAGAGATTGTATATCAAAATTAAACTTTTACTTAAATATCAATTTATTCATTCATGTTTACCTTTTGTGATATCTAATGACTAATATTTAACTGGTCTAGATGTTTACCTTTGCATGTAAGTAGTTTGGGACTCCATCTAGTCTGCCACTCACTCCCATGACATTTTATGAAAATGAAGGACATTTGCGCACCGTTTCATGAATGGTCTCGTCGCCGTTTTAGAGATCACATCACCACGCACGTGCATGCTTATACACTGCTCAGCAAACAATATGCATTAATCTATGCATCAATTAACTATAAAACCCACGAGCACGACCGCAGGCAAACGTTGATATTCAATTTCGTGTGGGATACGATACCTCTTCCTTTCTTTCTACCATTTTTTGTCCTATATGTGAGGATCAAAGTTCACGCACGTTGGTTTGCCACACTCCACACCCTTCCCAACTACAACTCAATATTTGTTTTGTCAAGGTATAATTTGCTATTTTATTATATATTTTTATTACTTCATTTAAAAATAAGCAAAGTTCGGTTTAAAAAATCATGGGAGCATGTATTTTAAATTTATTGGAAGGAATTTTCCAAAAATCAAAAAATATTGGAAGAAGATATTCACGTTTAAACATGAATACAAATTATTTTGACTAATTAAACCAATGAAAGGATTGTTTGGATAATAAGAGTCCTGTTACGGACCTTGAGGTCACTACCCCTAAAGCTAGCTCAAAGGGTGGGAGTGCAAAAGCTAGCTCAAAGGATGGAAGTGCCCAAGACCTTATAAACCCCACATTAGTTGTATAGGAAACTAATGTGGGACCTGTAACATTGCCACCCCCTTTAAGGGCCGACGTCCACGGTGGCTTTCACTCTATCGACACTGACCCGACGGTAGCCCTTTCCCCCTGGGCGGCTTCACTCACCTATCAGTATTTAGTGCCCAAAAGCACCTTAATCCAGTCTATAGATAGTCCTTTCCGTGGCCTCAACTCTCAATGAAAGCAAATTGTTACGGACCTTGAGATCACCACCCCAAAAGCTAACTCAAAGGGTGGGAGTGTCCAAGGCCTTATAAACCCCACATTAGTTTCCTATACAATCAATGTGGGACTCGTAACATTGCCACTCCCTTCAAGGGCCGACGTTCACGGCGGCTTTCACTCTATCGACACTGACCCGACGGTAGCCCTTTCCCCCCTCTGGGGCGGCTTCACTCTACGGAAAGGGCTACCAATAGGCTGGATTAAAGTGTCTTTGGGCACTGAATACTGGTAGATGAGTGAAGCCGCCCCAAAGGGAGGAAAGGGCTACCGTCGGGTCAGTGTCATAGAGTGAAAGCCGCTGTGGACGTCGGCCCTTGAAGGGAGTGGCAATGTTACGAGTCCCACATTGATTGTATAGGAAGCTAATGTGGGTTTTATAAGGCCTTAGACACTCTCACCCGAGCTAACTTTTGAGGTGGTGATCTCAAGGTCCGTAACAAGTCCCCTCCCCACATTACAATATATATTATTAATTATTATCATATATATGTTATGCGCAAGTCGTAGCTTAGGCTGCGGTCGCCTCGTGAATCATTTTAAAAAATATTTTCCACTTAATCTTCTGAACACATGCGATTTGCCAATGAATAATTAATTTTACCAAAATAAAATTATAAGTCTTAATTAAGAAACTGGTTGAGTGGGCGTACGTAAGCATGTGGTAGTTCATACTGTAGAAAGTTTGAATTGTGACGTAGTCAATTTCTTGGAACAAGTTGTAAGAAATCTTTGTTTGAATCACTTGGTATTAATGTAGATACCAACAAGTAACTACCTGATAACGTACATAATTTTGTGAAGTAAAAAACAAAAAATCTATTATAAAAGTGAAGAATCTTATAAAAGTAAAGAATTCTTATACGACCTACAGTAAAAATAAAAAATAAATTATAAAAGTGAAGAATCTTCAAACATGAAAGCAAATGTAACAATATTATCACGATAATGTAAAACACTACTAAAAATTTTTCATAAAAAATTATTTGTTTGCACGTCACTTTCAATTACAGATTGCATCAAAGATTAGCTCTTATATAAAAAAAGAACATCTAGAAGATGGATTTCATTGAACGCAGTCATAGCACAATAATCTCGTTCTTATGTTATGATAATAATAATAATATACATAACATTAATAATAATTAATACATTTTACCGATATGAAGAATGAATCTATAAATAATAGTGCGCACGAGGACTTAATATACGTATCCAAGTGAACACAAGCAACTAGAGATGTTAGAAGCAAATGGGGTAGGGTGCAAACAGCACCCAAGTGATAAACAAGTACCAGGTGTTTGCTCCACTTGCTTAAGAGACAAACTCTCACAGCTCTACAGCAACAGCAACAACAACAACAACACTATTGATCCTCTCTATGGTTATCTTTCTCCATCTTCGCCTGCTTCTCCTCAACCTTTCTCTTCTGCTCATCGTAGACGCTTCCGCAGGAATGCTTCACATGCGATGGATTCTGCTTCTTGCATGCTCAGCTTTAATTATGGGTTGAACTTGAAGAAGAGCAGGTCGCTTGCCTTTGTTTCAAGAAACAGACTCAGAGAGAGGGATGTCAGTGGAGGCAGGGGAAGGAAGAAAGATGGGTTTTGGTCAAAGGTACTCAAACTAACAAAATAGGACATGGGGGTATTCTTCATGAGTTTCAGGACCTAAAGGGAGAGACAAGAGTGATAAATATTATGTTGCATAGTTGTATCATGATTCTTCAGTGACGTTTTCCACTGTGGCTCGATTAAGGAATTTCAGATATTTGCTTTAGATTTCAATTACCATATATTGTTATTCCATCAACATAAATTGGAAAAATTATCTTGTGTTCTTTCTTCGTCCAAGTGTGCTATTTTGCTAAAAAAACATAAGTAAGCATGCTATCACTGCACTCAATGTTCTAACCAATTCCAAGAGCTACATACCAATATAGGGACTGCTGCATTCTGGGTTCAAGACTTACTCAAGTTATTTTGCTTTCACTTCAGCACTTCATCTCATCATCAAACCTTAAAACTCCATCTCATCATCAAAATATGGCCGCCCAAAGATTTTAATTTCATTTTTTTTATATCCACAATAAAAATATAATAAAATTGAACAAGGAGTAAACTCGTGAGCAAAACCTGAACGACATCCCAATAAAACCAATGTAATTTGATCTAAGAAATCATCAGTAGAATGAAATTATAAATTCAAGCCAGGCAAAACATCGGTAACACTGCCTACTCTACTGGTACAATTTGAAATATCTAAGGATCAGCTAGATTTTGTATGAGATTGACTAGTAAAGTATAGGAGTTTCTGTGTTCATCTTTCCATATTTAGGCTGTATTGTGGGATTAAGTTTTTTTTTTTCCTAAGCACGGCATTTAAATTTCCCCATTACTATACATGATAATATGGACCTGCATTCCCAATCCTAGAACATCTTACACTTGTAAGTTACTTGCCAAATGATATATATCATCTAAAAGGAGTATTGGACTCCATTTTAGTCTTCGTCATTGTAAATAACTTGGTCCTTCGATGGCCGTTTGAGTTTTTGAAATATATCATCAAGGGACTCGGACGAGGAAACACGAGATACCGTATCTTCCTGTGTTTGCCGTAAGGGTAAAAACTTTTTGGCCCCCATGTTGGCCTTGAAACTCTGAAAGCCTGTCTTCATCGTTTGCCACGTTGAAGCCAAACCTGAAGATGGCACTCCAGCTGAATTACTGGAATTACTATTGCCTTCATCAACCACGGAAAATGCAGAGGCTACGTTTTTCTCTTCTGCCTTCAATTTTGATGCTGGCCCACCCTTCTCTCTAATGGCAGCATACTTGTTACTGATGGCTTCCCTGCTCGAACCATATCTGCTTGTCTCTTCCTTCGAAGTTTTGGACAGACTTCCATTTATTTCTTCCGTAATCAAATTGGAAGTTGTTTTCATTTCAGCATCATTTCTCTCCTGAACAAAATATAAGGTATACGATGAGTAAACTGTCTTACCAACAACAAGGAGCAGTAGTCACAAATGTCATATGTTACAGCTGTTGAAACCATGAAAGGTTAAATAGGACATGTTACAACACAGATGAAACAAGTGAGACAAGATTGCTTCCACTTTTTTGGAGGTATTGATACATACCATAAGCCTGTTGGCCGCTTCCATATCAATACCATTGAAATTCCTTGCCAGTGGAACAACTTGCTCCCCTACTTTGCATCCTTGTTCAAGCCAAGACCGCTCTACAAATAATACAAAATCAATCATCAAGCATAACTATCACAAAGTTGGTATTCACTAATTCAGATATGATTTGTCATTTGGTAACTTGAACTAAAGTTTTAACAACAATAGAAGTCTTCGTTTCATACCTTTTTGTAAAATAATTAATCCTGATGGATCGAAACCATCCATATCATCAGCTTCAGTTTTGAAAATATATCTCTTCCAGCTCCCCAAAAAATGAAATACTCTATCAAAGAAGTTGCTTGCAACCAAAAGCGTGTATATAACCATAATAAGTGGATAGATTTTGTTAAACCTATTCCCAAAGAAAGGGACGGCCCTGTCAATGTTCCCCATACGCTGCAATTATAGCCACATTGTACACCGAATTAGAAAAAAATTAAGGACAGGGAGCAAACATGTTCCGATGCAAAAGTTCAGATAATTTAGCAGTTGCTAGCTTAGTCCAGCACTAATGAGAAACATCAACATCAACACCTTTATCCCAAAATAGTTGGGGTCGGTGCTCGATAAACTCAAACAAAAGATACAAAAAGTTTGAGAAAAAAGAAAAATGAAGAACACATAAATAAATAAATCAGAGAAAAAAGATTGAAAGGAAAAATGAAATAAGAGAAAAGAAGGAAGAAGACAGAAAGAGAGAGAAGATAAAAAGGAAAAGGACTAGAAATAAAAGAAAAAAAAATAGATAAAATGAAATAAAAATTATCATTAAAAATATATATATAAGGCGTGTAAAACCAAATACAAGACAACAAAACCATAGAAACTTAGAAAAAAGGTTCTTTTATCTAGGACAAGAAAAGAAATAAAAAGAAAGAAAAAAATAAACTTGGGTCAATAAACTTAATGAAGAAATAGTTGAGTGCAACATGTTTTTTTCTTACTGACAATATCTGATGCACCCAATCATTATGACCATGAGATGGCAATTTATGGGAATATTAGGAAGTGATTTGATATGTATGCCAAAAAGATAGGCAAGAAAAGAAGTATCACAGTAGACAGCAATACATGGAACCCTGCCCAGTGCCCATGGTTTTGTCGGATTAGGCAAGAAAAATAACATTTTGTAGAGAAATCAGTCAACGGATTCATATGACAAGAAGAATACCTGTTCAAATATAGTTGTTTTATGAGGACCAAGGCGAATGAGATTGAGAAAATTGTACGAGATAGGAGGAGCATAACGAGCAACCATCCTGGGAACAAGTAAGTATAGAATATAACTGGTATTCATTCAACAGATAGGAAATTCAAGAAACAAAAATAACTACTAGCAGCAACAGCAGGAGGAGGAAATGAATTAAAACTTACGAGCATATCATAAGCAAGTTAACTGAGCTGGTCTGCCTGGGTGTCAGTGAGTAAAACATCAACATTCCAATTTTGAACAAGGAATAGTATGTACAGATACACATGTACATGAGAGGAACGAAAGCAAACACCTGGGCAAGAAATTGATTATTTGATTTCATACATCCTTTCAAAGATCAGAGAGTGAACAAAAAATACAAAATGACGGATAATTCACATTATTATAAATATACCAATATTTGACAATACGGGGACATTAACTCTAAATAAACATAAATTGTCTGTGATGCCAGAACAGATGAACACAATATTGAGGTGAGATTCTAAAAGGAACTTGTCTTCATTTCAAATAATATAGTAGCAATGTAGAATCAAAAGCAATTTAGACACATTATGTGAGATTCCATGAGCAATTTGTTTGCATTAATATACATCCTTAAACCAAAAGGCGTGAAAGTTTATTTTCATAAAAAAGAGAGAGAGTGAACCACCCATATTAAAAGAAAATCACATAAGCCGTAGATCAATGTATAAACAAAAGTCCATCTTAATCACAAAGAAGTTCATTTGAGATATGATAGACTTCAGTTTTCTTTAGAATATTATATGATTTCCAAAATTCTAGAATGAAATCCTCATCAAAAATTTCTTTCTAAAAGGTGAAAAAAATATTTTAAATATAATCTCGATGTCCAGTCCACTATACAAAAAAATTCTCGAACAAACTTAGTCTACCTGCACAAGCACTTCCTGTGATCCAACATATTTTATAAGAATGGAGAAAAGCGATAGATCAACGCTGGGCAAAAGAGTTGCCTCTGCTAAAAGAATTGCAACAGACATCATCCCAAGTAAAACAGCCAAGCCTTTCTCAACTTGTTTCCTTAAAATGCATTTCCAGAAAAATTCTGCAAAGAAGCAGCATTTATTCAGAACCCCAAGCCCAATGCCTCTAACTAAAATATTCCATATTCATAAAGGAGAGCAGAATGTGGAGTTATCCTTGCATGATGAAGCAATGTAACATAAGATGTTCATTGAGAAAGGTAAAACAAAAGTGAGATGAAATTCAAGAAACTTTTAAGCCAAAAACAACATATTAAGTATGAGCAAATTAGATTGACAAGCCACCAGGTTTGTCAACTCAATACTATATTCCAATGCTCTCATTTCAAAACCTAGGGAGGTAAATTTAATTTGCTCTACATGTACAAACAATTATGTACCACAAAATAAAAATATGTAAAATAGAATTACTTGAGGTCTCATTTACAAAGGAAGCAACCGAACAAGTAGGATATGGAGCATTATTTTGTCATTAATAACTTAATATACACACAAAGGGAAAAATGTTAACGGGACATCTCGAAAAACTAACAGAAACAGCATTACAAATTAAAAATAGCCAATGCTATTCCAGATGCAGCAAAAAAAATTAGGTGAAGTTAGGAACAAATGGATTTATTAAAAAATCTCAAGAATACCTAAAGTATCACATAGGGACCCCAACTTGCCAGTCCGAGCAGGTCTAATGCTCGAATTATATTCCCTGAAATTATTGAATAAAAAATTGTGAAAGGTGAGCTAGAAGAACCTGTAATATATTATAGAAGGATATTGAAGTGGGGCAAACCAACAGAAATGAAAACAAAATTGAAGCAAACCATCCGGTTGAGTTGCGGCGTTCATAATTCTTTATCTTATCTTCTAATTCAAGGGCTTCCAGTACATAAGTCATATACTCACTGCAAAAGCAACAATATTAAATAAAGTTTGGTTATCAATAGAGGAAAATTCTAAGAGACCTTAGTTGTAAGCATTTGATAGAACAAAGCCACAACTATGTAATCAAGCTGTTGTATATATCTTGTCATCATATACCAATCATTCTAAAAGAGGCAGGAAGGAATCTATTTCATCATTGCATAACATCAGGATGCCCAATTTTATGACGTCTTACATATTAATAAAAGCTAGGAAACAAAGATGAAACTCCTCACAGTTCAAGTAAAAACAAAGGATTGAAAATTTGAAATTAATGAACAGAATTATTGACCAGACCAATTGTTAGATTCAATAGTACATATAATTTAAAAGAAAAAGACCTAACAATGTAATATGTGTGGGCCACGTAAAGAAACAGCAATTTGATTCTCAAAAATAAGCTGTGCCTCTGTAGGCATTATCATTAATATGAAAAACAAAAAGAGTAAATACATTTTTTGGTCCCTAACAAAAAAATATGTTCTCCACTTTAGTCCCTTACAAAAATAAATTAGTCAGTTAGTCCCTAACAAATTTAAAGTGGACCCATTTAGTTGAAATCGTGGTCCCTCACAAATTCAAAAAAGACCCATATTAGTCCCTCAAAAGGACTAAAATGGATCCATTTTGAATTTGTTAGGGACTATCTGACTAATTTATTTTTGTAAGGGATTAAAGTAGGGACCGTGTTTTTTGTTAGGAACCCAAAAGGGTATTTACTCAAACAAAAATAAACAAATTTAGGTCAAATAGGTGTTTTTCCTCATTGTAAGAATTTAACAATTGAATTTACCACAGCTGCTGTAAAGGATTCAAGAACAACTTTTCAAGAGAATAACACAACTAAAGATGGAATTCATCATCTGCTTACCTTTTATATCTGTAATACTGCTCACGAGCTCCCCGAAGATGTCGCCTTAATTTCGCCATTGACTTCTCATCGGTATCATAATCCATATCATTTTCCCCTAATTGGCCACCTTGTGGTTTGAATGCTGGGTCTTCCCTAAACTGAAAATTTGAAGGTTATATCTAAACAAAGAAAACAATTTAGGTTCTGCAATCAAAATCCTTAACCGAATAATGTAAGCTCAATACCATTTGAGTTAGCATATCATCAATGACATCCATATAAGGTCTCAAAGGATCACGCTTGGACATCTGCTTGGATGTTGCTTGAGCAACCTATAGAAATAAACAATCATTAAACTCACAGTTTTTTTTTTTTTTTGTGGGGTTAAGGGTACTTTAAAAACATAGTTACTCAAAAGCAAGCCATTCTTATTTAGCACTCTACCCCTGCCCACGAAAACAAAGGAAAACACAATTCACATGAGATCTTCCATGTACAGAAAAATTGATCCAGTCCAATATTACATAGTTTTTATGAACGTAGGCACCAAAACAGCCAACAATACACTGCTGACAAGTAATACTTTCCCCAAAATGACAAAGAAAGACGGAATTGATGGAGATGCCTAGTTGTAAATTGGAATGTCCCTCACTAACACTTCCCTTAAAACCTTATCATAACTAGCCACAAACAAGTTATTAATATTTTATATATGAGAAGTGAAGGAACAAGACATCAGACACTGGACATAATTCATTCAGCTCCATGAATGAATGATGGGGTGTTTCAAATGCTCTCCATTTTCTCTCTTTTTTTACTATATTTTTCTTTTCTGGTTTATTTATTTATTGTCTTCTTCTTTTTTCCTTTTTTTCTTTTTTCTCTTATGTATTTTTCCTTCTTATTTATCTTTATTTTCACTTTGTTTTATTTTATTTTTATTTTTATTTTTAATTGTTTATTGATTTTTTTTTATTTCTAGGATTACTTATATATTTTTACTTATTTATTTTTATCCTCTCTTTTTTTTCCTCAATTTTTTCGTACTTTTCGTTTGGGTTCATGTGCCACCGACCCCTACTAGTTTGGGATAAAAGTATTGTTGATATTGGTGTTGATAAAAGAGTAAGAAACAAATCACAAACAAGAAAAGCTAGTTCTATCTTGCTTGCAAGTGATCGATTAAAAATATTCCCAAACTTGTAAATGTGCACTAGGAAAACAGCAACAACCGAGCCTTGTCCTTCTAGGTGGATTTGGCTACATGGACCAAATCACTACATTGGGCTCTATCAAAAACCAAAATTTTCAACAAAAACATTTATAGCAATGTCCTTTTAAAGGTAAAATTACAAAGAGAATATAGTTTCTAATGTTGTATGAGAAAAAATTGTCTCATATACACGCACAAAAACGGGTGGGACCTACTAAGGAGAAGAGAGAGAAAGAAACCAAGTGGATCCCACCCACTTTTCTGTGTGTGCACGAGAGCAACATGAGAAACTATATTCTCAATTATAAAATAAATTTACTGTCAACTTGAACAAATCACTTACAACAATAGCATTTGAAAGTTCTTGGTGTGCATCATCAAGTTTGACAGCTATTTGGGCAATTTTGTGGGAAAGAACTTTCTGGCGGGTGGTCCAGTCAGCATTTCTCCAAATGCTTTTAGGAATTTCACTTAAACCAAAGCCAAGAAGAAATGCACCAGTAACAAGTCCAAATGTATTTGAGCAAGCCATGGCAAATCCCAAAAGACCTCCATCCCTGTTTACAGAATTATCAAACAATTAGAAATCATTCCAGAATAAAAAAGGCATTGACTCACTTAAAACCAAAAAATAAACACACAGATACGGAAGAAAAAAAAAACCTTGTTGAATGCTAACTTGTCAACCATGACTATCATGTCAAAAAATAGACAAATAATTTGGCACAGAGCAGATATTTATGTGTTCATGACTTAAAAAATCACACAAGCTACTGATTATTGAATAGCTGTGACTTATGTGTACAATTTAAACCTGTAATTTCTTTATCTCGTGAGCCTAGCTCACTTGGTTGGGACATTTGCTTGCAAGTTCCCCATAAAGAGCTCAACATTCCTAGATGGAACATCACTTCCCCTTTCCCCCTCATTGGGACCCCTAGTGGGGATTCCTTAGGCATCACTCTAACAGTTGGGCCTCCCCTAGGCCCTAGCAGGGTCTACTACCCAAAACAACAACAAAAACCACTCCCCGTTAAACTTGACTAGCGAGTGTGGGGTGGAAGAAATCCTTGTACGCAGCCTTACCCTTGCATAATTGCAAAGAGACCGTTTTCTGAATTCGAACCCATGACCTTTCAGTCATAAAGGAACAGTTTTAATACGGCTCCGGTTCGCCCCCTTTTACCCAAAACAAAAATAAAAAACAAAAAACGTAATTTCTTTCATATGTCCTCACAACTTTTCAGCAAGTTATCTATATTATTATATACTAGCTCACTTGGTTGGGACATTTGCCTGCAAGTTCCCGATAAGGAGTTCAACACTCCCTGATGGAACATCCCTTTCCTTTTCCCCTCCCCCTCCTTGGGCCCCCTAGTGGGGATTCCTTAGACACCACTCTATGGTGGCGCCTTCCCCTCGGCCCTAGCAGGATCTAATACTAAGAAGAAGAAAAAAAAACTGTAATTTCTTTTATGTCCTCATATCTTTTCAGCTTGTGATTTATCTAAATTGTTATATACTCAATGACTTTTGAAGATGTTATACCGCATTTTCTTGAAATTTCCTCACAGAAGCAATGTCTTAGCCTCCAGGAGTAAATGAACAGATGTCAAAAGACTATACAGGTTATATTAAAACCTGAACTTCCAAATGCACAGCTTTATCAGATAGAGTAGTGTTTTACAGAAGCCCCTTAAAAAGATGTTTACAGGAATCTCATTATCCACATACAAAAAGAAATGAGAGAGGGGGGAGAGAGAGAGAGTTTGGTGCCTATAAGGCTCCATTTTCATGAATACATCAGCCTCACTCATAACAAAGCATGCAGCCAAACATTACTAACAAAGCATGTCCACATATGACACAGTAAATTATCAGGAAGAAACTAGCTGTCATGGGTGATGGGTGTATTTGAGGAAAACATATAAAACAAGAATCTTAAATTATTTAAAAAAAAACTCTAGGAAGCAATAACTTTGAGCTAACATCAAACTACCAAAAACTTAAATCAACATCAAAATATATAAGGTTAGGACGATGAGAACTAACCATTTCTTGTGCATCAAAATGAGAAGAATAAGTCCAACAAAGCCAATAGATCCCACTATTAGATAGAAAACCAAGTTAACATGTACACTAGTCTTCAATCTTTCTGATACAGTGAAATCCCCAGCATCTTCAAAACCCTGAATAAGGGGCACCACAGCCCTGCTTAGGATAAATAACTTAGATATATGAGGAAATTTGCATCTCTGATCCGTAAATGCCATTTAAATATTTCCTTGCAATAATCATGCTTATTATGTAGGCAAGAACATTAAGAGACAAGGAGTAACAATAAAACAAATTAGCAACAGAGCGTGCACACAGAAAATCACCTAAATTTTGCAATTTTACATAATAACTAAATCATGTTTTTTTACTCATTACTACTGCCAGTATAGCTCAAAGTCTGACCTGCACTGGAAAAATGTTAAAATGCATGCATGCCTTATGAATTATGAAATTCAATATAAGAGATACCAAAAGATAGTTATAGACATTCACATTAAAGAGTTACTTTAGCTTGATCCCATTACATATCGGATACATAGCAAAAGCATGCAGTCCACTGACTCAAAACAAGGATCCCAGAGGAATGTTTGACTGTCAGGCAATGAGAGAACAAAGCAAAAAAAACTGTGGGCTATTAACCAACATGCAAAGATAAAAATTGACCGGCCTTTCTAAACAATACAACTCATTTAAAGAACACACAAGGATGTGAAAGTGATGCAAACATATAATCATAAAAAATTTAGATGAAGCGTACCAAGTAAGCAAAAACGTACTCCAATATGACCAGCTCCAAAAGAAAGAAATAACTCCATTCTCATGGTGAGAAGACAATGTCTGTATGTGTCACAGAAACAACATTACATCAATGAAGTCAATGCACATATAGTTCTTCAATTAACCATAATTCTTTTCACCTTTAACAATGTAAAGTTCCAAAAATCTTCCTTTCGAAAGAAAAGAAAAGAAAAAAATAGCTTATGTATAAGCCAAAGAACTGCCAAATTTAACTAAATAGGAAAGAAGAGGCAATCACAACCTTGATTTAATTGACACAAGCTTAACTAAATAATACAAACTCATAAAGCTGCCTTGGCCACAATATAGAGGTAGCGTAATATTTTTGACAAAACTATGGACACTTTTAGACTGATGCAGAGTAAATCTTTCTAGTGCTTATACTTATAATATTATTTCTTCCAGTTTCTAATTTAAAACCCAGCTCCATCTGTTCAGAACTTCTCCATATCCAAGCCCTTTTTGAAAGTTAAGGCTTCCTCTAAGATGAAGACTATTGTATGGTAAGTGATACTTATAATCTATGCATTTATCACTTACCTTTTTATACGACTACCAGCATCTATGGATTACCTTAGGACATACAAAGCTCCCAAATAACATATGCATTTGTTCCTCAATTGTAAAGCAACTCTCTCTTTCATGACAAGTGGTAATAAAGAGAAAACGAAAAAACAAGCCATATTTGTGAATGTTTTTCGGTTTCGTTTCTATAGTAATCACACATCCAACTCAACACTGTTTCTCTGGCCAAATCTAAAACTCCAGCATCCCTCACAATCAATGATAAAAGCAAGTAAAAACAGCATAGGGCAAAACATTCCTAAAAATAAAATTCCGTTTATGCAACCCTATGACACTGAATTAAACAAGTCTAATCGGAATTTCAAAGAAGAATAAAAACGAAATCCGTTAATATGAAACAATGAAAAACTAAATTCGAAATCAAGAAAGTAGAAATGGAAACGGTACCGCCCAAATGTCAGCGGGGACGAGGATAATGATGGAGAGGGAACAGAACCATGTATATCCAACGGTGAAGAGCACGTAGCGAGGTACCTCTGGCCCAGCGAAGTACCTCAACGTGAAAATCACCATTCCAGTTGTTAGAGGAAGCGAGATCAGGTAAAACACCCACATCTTTCTCCCTCTCTCTGTGGAATCAGCAACACTGATCAAAGAGATAGATCATAGATCGGTTACAAAATTTAGAATCGCAGAGTGACAGTGACGTTTTTCAGGTAATTATGTATAAAGCTAGCCCCCGCAGCACTCTTTGGCGCGCCACACGTCCCTTCGAAGCGGGAGCTAGCGCCTTCGCTTATTAGATTTTCTTGTGTCTCTTGGCTTCGTCGTGACCGAGTTTGAACCAGCCTCGCTCAAGCTCCACACAGGTTGCACGGTTAAGTTATGACGGTTGGCACCACTATCGTCTATCGTCTCCGGCGAAAAACGCACCTTTTGATTGTTTGCCTTTACTGAAACGTGAATAAATCACAAATGCTTGAGGTTTTATTAATTAATTTATAAATTTCTATTAAATTTATAACACTATATATAAAATATATTATTTTAAAAAAATAATAATATCGTATTTTTAAAATAATTAGCAAAATAAAGTTTTATTTTGTTTTTAAATATGAAACTCAAAAGAATATGGACAAGTATTTCTTTTTTTTGGAAACTGATCATAATTACCTCTTTGAGGCGAATCAGAACTCCCGGTATCCCACGGGTTCGACTCTTTGAATCGCCTATGGGACTAATCCAGAGTTCGAGTGCGAGTCCAAGGATTACGGTACTTATGCCCCTCCCCAGATGGTGTTGGTGGGATTCCAACTGAGGTCCTCTCTCACCACTCAGTCTCATGCATGGACAAGTATTTCTTGGATAAACGAAGATAAGTTATTTTCGTTGAGTTCAAAATAATATTATTTAGAATTATAAAAATATCTTTATTTTTATAATTCTAATATATTGCAGTTTGCTGAATTATATTAGTCTTTATTATTATAATTTTCTAATTTTCTAATTTCACAATAAGATAATTATGAGTTGATTATAAATAATTTTATCTCAAGAGAAATATACTTTTCCAAGAGAATATACTTTCTTTGTGGTAAAATGAATTTTATAAATAAAAAAAATCACACGTCATCATGCTCTATCGCAGATGTAAGGATTATACTTTTATGCCAAGTATGCCTATTTCTTAATCACAATTCACATTGTGTATTTGTGTTACTTTATATGTAATGGATTTGCTAGCCAACATTCTCAAAGTTTCTGGTCTATATAGAAACTTTGCACGGAGATATGTGCAGATTAAATTTGAAAAAGAAAAAAAAAACTATGAAAAAATTAACGAGATTGCAAATGCTCAAGGGCCTACGTGTTCGAGCTTATATCAGCCTATCTCTGTTGCAAACTTGCAATTGGCCCATCCAACTGGTGCTGACTGCTATGAGAATAAATTTTTGGTGCCATGGTTGTTTTATTTGTAACTTTTACGAGCTAGTTTTTTTTATTTATTTTTTTTATGAGGAATGTGGTTTATTAGTGGTAAGATAAAAATAAAAAATAGAAAGGTGGATTGGCACCCTTACGCTTAAGACTAAATTGATTTTGTTTTAGATATATGATAAATTATCAAATAAAATAATATAAAATTATGGACGGATGCAATAGGATAAAAAATAAAAATAGGGGTTATATTTATTGAAGGGAAAAAAATGCTACAATTTTACGTAAAGTAGTTTGATCACGTGAACAGAAGATTGATAAAAGTTTAAGTAAGAATACACCAATAAGAACTTAATAATTAGATATTGAAAGGTCCTGAAAAAACTATAGTGAAAAATATCATTAAAAAGACTTCGATATAAAAAAAATAACGTAATAGCATCATTAGATGTATGTAGCATATCACGCCTATACAAAATAGCTTTTGTTGTTTTTATGAAATAATTTACGAAAAGAAAAAATATATATAAAAAGATTTATTGCATTTTATCAATTCCTTGTTTAGCTTGAAGATTTATTTATTTTCTGGAACATTACGAGACATTTGAAATAAATTTTGTACTAAATATTTTAATATTAATGGCTCAACGGGGCTGATTGATTCAAAGGTTTTTCATAACAAAAGGTAAATAAAAGAGTTGAATTGTTAAAAGAAAAGTTAAAGCGTGTATTACAGCTAACAACCAACAAGGTAAAAAAAATTAGTTTTTGAAATTCGCATGTTTGACCTATAACTTAACTTATTTATAAGTTTACCTTAATATAAAATTGTTATGTTTTAACAATTTGATTCCTCGATTAATGGGTCATGCTAAAACGTCTAAACTTAAATGAACAATTAATTAATTAGTCTAATTCCAGAGCTCATTTTAAGAGTATATTATTTAAGTTGTTCAAATATATAGGTGGACAACTCAAACGAATGTTTGTCTGGTCAAATTTTAATAGAAACTCGATCAGGTTTTCCAAATTCCTTTTATTATTTTGTTATTGTTATTGATTGGTTCATGGGTTTTGCATACATTTTTTTTTTGTCAACTCCCCACTTACAAGATCAAAAATGGCACGATCGGTTAATGTTAAACATGTTGCCATACAAAAGCAAAGGACTTTACCCTCATTCGACATCTTAACTAATATGCTTCTAACCTTGTACATCGTATGGCATACCCTTACTGATTTGAGCGTCGAAGAGTAAAGCAACAACATCATCCCTTTTATCCACCGAAAAAAGGAGATCTGCAACCATTATTTAATCTCCATCAACAAAGATTTAAACACAACATTTCAGTATTTCCAGGCATACTTGTCTAGACATTGTTAAGCGAACATAAAGTCTCCTTAACCCAATTTTGGGATAATGAAAAGTTTTCCTAATCCTTCGTGATAGGTGAGCAGAAAGCTCCTTCTGTACTTGATTATGTCGTAGGTGATTATAAAGTTTCTCTAAACCACTTCTGTATAAGTGAGCATAAAGTTTTCTCAATTTGCACCATAACATATTTTGTGGTGTTTCTGCCTGCAACTCACTATTTGTTGGAGTATTTTCTAGATGTTTCAGACCCTCACAAATATTGCAATTTCTGGCATTTTCCAACTTCCCTAATATGTTTGACTTTATGTAGGTTAAAAACCTCCACAAAATATTGCAATTTATGGCATTCTCTAACCTCCACAATATGTTTGACTTTCTGTAGGTTAAAAAAGTCTACAAAATGTTTAACTTTATGGAGGGTGTAGACTGCCACAATTTGTTTAGCATTTTTGGCATCCCTAAATCTCCACTATTTTTCTTATTTTGTGGCAGCTTCAAATTGTCTGTATATGAATTGAAAGTTTTATATATCATAATTTGGGGATTGGGCACTATCTCATCACTTGATTTGTTAGCCAGTTTATTTTTTAGTATTAGTAATAATGGTAAACAACAATAAAGCTGCACATTTGGAGAATTCAAGTTGATTGCCTTAATTGGTCTATCTCATCCAAATTCAAAGTATAATATAGATAACTAGCAAGAATAAATAAGGAATGAAGTCTTAAAATTATTGAGATGATTGCACCATCCAAAAACAAAACAATCATTTAATTACTAAGTCTAAATTTGCATCACAACCTGGCATACTTCTGTTGTTTATTGAGTAATATGACAATTTCAATATTTGGTAAAACCATAAGCACTTTAATAAAAAAAAACCAAAGAATTTGCACAAAATTCAACAAAACTGGGAAGCAACAGAAAACAACAAACCATAAGAGGAAGCAGAAAACTCACCTGAGAATAACAACCTACCTAAACCTGCAAAGGCAAAGAAGTTGAAAATTGATGTTCTCTGTGTTAATGAAATTTTTTAAACTAAATTACTGTAAAAAAAATCAAAAAGTAAAATAGACCCCAACAAAGAGAAAGAATGAGAACTTCATAATCAAAGATAAAAAGAGATTGAGAAACCAGAGAACTTCATCGTCTCTCTCAAGTTCGAATTCGGGAAAGAGGTTTCTGAGAAGAGTGACAGTGACAGTGACGTTTGCAATATATGATAAATTATCAAATATGATAAAAGAAAAGATAAAGCGTGTATTACAGCTAACAACCAACAAGGTAAAAAAATTAGTTTTTGAAATTCGCATGTTTGACCTATAACTTAACTTATTTATAAGTTTACCTTAATATAAAATTGTTATGTTTTAACAATTTGATTCCTCGATTAATGGGTCATGCTAAAACGTCTAAACTTAAATGAACAATTAATTAATTAGTCTAATTCCAGAGCTCATTTTAAGAGTATATTATTTAAGTTGTTCAAATATATATGTGGACAACTCAAACGAATGTTTGTCTGGTCAAATTTTAATAGAAACTCGATCAGGTTTTCCAAATTCCTTTTATTATTTTGTTATTGTTATGGATTGGTTCATGGGTTTCGCATACATTTTTTTTTTTGGTCAACTTCCCAGTTACAAGATCAAAAATGGCACGATCGGTTAATGTTAAACATGTTGCCATACAAAAGCAAAGGACTTTACCCTCATTCGACATCTTCACTAATATGCTTCTAACCTTGTACATCCTATGGCATATCCTTACTGATTTGAGCGTCGAAGAGTAAAGCAACAACATCACCCCTTTTATCCACCGAAAAAAGAACATTTCAATATTTCCAGGCACACTTGTCTAGACATTGTTAAGCGAACATAAAGTCTCCTTAACTCAATTTTGGGATAATGAAAAGTTTTCCTAACCCTTCGTGATAGGCGAGCAGAAAGCCCCTTCTGTACTCAATTCTGTCATAGGTGATTATAAAGTTTCTCTAAACCACTTCTGTATAAGCGAGCATAAAGTCTCCTCAATTTGCACCATAACATATTTTGTGGTATTTCTGCCTGCAACTCACTATTTGTTAGAGTATTTTCTAGATGTTTCAGACCCTCACAAATATTGTAATTTCTGGCATTTTCCAAACTCCCTAATATGTTTGACTTTATGTAGGTTAAAAACCTCCATAAAATATTGCAATTTATGGCATTCTCTAACCTCCACAATGTGTTTGACTTTTTGTAGGTTAAAAAAGTCTACAAAATGTTTAACATTTTTTTTGGTAAATAAAAGGCCTAAGCCCAAACAAACAACAGGAAAACAGACAGAAAGAACACCTAAGGACTACAAACCACCTCATGTGGTCTACTAATAGAAGTCAAATCAGCAAGCAGCAAAAATTAAACACCCGGAGGAGGATCCCACCAAACTCTATTATCAGGCTGCTCATGATCATCAAGTAAAAAATTGGCCAACCAATCAGCAACAGTGTTGCTTTCTCGAAATGTATGACGAAAAGAAACTGTCCAATCTTTCTGAATCCAAATCTGTATGCGAGATATCAGATGACACTCACGGATTGCTATACCATTCTTGGATAGCAGAGTGATTACACTAGAAGAATCACT